TTCGATTGTGTTTGCAGAGCTTAGGCAACGCCAGGCCATTGGTCTCCGTGTACACGGAAAAGAATGAGGCAGTCAAGGAGAAGAACATCTGCCTGCCCGCGGTATTCAAGGCGCCCATCCGTCCGGATGTGGTCAACGAGGTGCACCAGCTGATGCGCCGGAACAACCGTCAGCCCTATGCCGTCAGCGAACTGGCGGGTAAGTGCCATCAATCGCGCATATTTGTTTGTAAACAATGTAAACAAGTTTATATATCTCGTTTATTCCAGGTCACCAGACCTCTGCCGAATCCTGGGGTACTGGCCGTGCCGTTGCACGTATCCCTCGTGTGCGTGGTGGCGGTACTCATCGTTCCGGCCAGGGTGCCTTTGGCAACATGTGCCGTGGAGGTCGCATGTTCGCTCCAACCAAGACCTTCCGTCGCTGGCACCGCAAGGTGAATGTAAACCAGCGCCGTTATGCTCTGGTTTCGGCTATCGCCGCCTCCGGTGTGCCCGCGTTGGTGCAGTCTAAGGGACACGTTATCGATGGCGTCTCCGAGTTCCCATTGGTTGTCTCCGATGAAGTGCAGAAGCTGCAGAAGACCAAGCAGGCTGTTGTCTTCTTGCGCCGCCTGAAGGTCTGGGCCGATATCCAGAAGGTGTGTAGAAAATAACTGCATTATGTGATTTATTTGCAGCAATGTATACGTAAACGGAATGCTTATGATTTGTATTTGGTTTACCTGCTCCCCGGAGCAGTATTCATAATGCGTTGCTAGATCAAATGCCCTCCTAGGCGTTACGATTGTAGCCTGATCCAAAGCTACAACCGTTTGCAGTGGAGGGCAACATATAGATTACGTTACGTATAGAACGATTGATACTAAATTTCAAATCGATTGCAGGTGTACAAGTCGCAGCGCTTCCGTGCTGGCCGTGGTACCATGCGCGACCGTCGCCGCATTGCCCGTCGTGGCCCACTTGTTGTCTACCACAAGGATGAGGGTCTGCGCAAGGCGTTCCGCAACATCCCCGGCATTGAGACCATCAGTGTGGATAAGCTGAACTTGCTGAAACTGGCTCCAGGCGGTCATGTTGGTCGTTTTGTCATCTGGACCGAGTCGGCATTCTCGCGCCTGAACGATCTGTTCGGCACCTGGAAGAAGCCATCCACTCTGAAGAAGGGTTACAATCTGCCCCAGCCTAAGATGGCCAACACAGATCTGTCGCGCCTCTTGAAATCCGAGGAGATCCGTAAAGTGCTGCGTGATCCACGCAAGCATGTGTTCCGTCGCGTGCGCCGCCTCAATCCCTTGTCCAATGTGCGTCAACTGATCAAGTTGAACCCATATGCTGAGGTGCTCAAGCGTCGTGCCGCCCTGGCTGCTGAGAAGCGTACCGTGGCCAAGGTATTGGCCAAGGCTAAGAAACAGAACGTCGAGCTGGCCAAGTCGCACTTTGCCAATGTCGCCACAAAGGCTGCTGCCAATCGCGCTAAGCTGTTGGCCGCTCGCAAGAAGAAGGTTGCCGCCAAGAAACCAGCGGCCAAGAAGTAAACTGATTTACTTTCCACGTAATAGCCGACTACAAAACACACTCTTTTTATATAATAAATAACAAAAGTTGTATGAATTTTATTCATAATACAGTGCGAAAGTAATATCTATATTAAACTATTTAGTCTTAGGCCATTAGTTGTTGCTCTTTTTGCTGCCTCGTGTTTGCCTCTCTCTCTTGCGATGTTCTCTTTAATGATGCCCTCTCTTCTGCTGAGCTCGTCAGCTGATAACATTTAGTCGCTGCCTATCGATGCTCTTATCGGCTGTGCTTTTGTCGCTCGTGAAATGCTGCTGATGATGATCTTCGGCATGCGCTACGTTTATATTTTGTATGTGCCCACATTTGTTGTCACACGTTAATTGGCATTTAATTAAACAGCAACGATTGCAAGCGTGTTTATTCCGCAGTGAGCGCTCGAGTCGAGCAGTCGTATCAATTCCGCGTTCTGTGTGCTGCCATTTGCAATTGGCGAGCAAAAAAAAGAAAGGGAACATAAAGCAACCAATAACAAAGGAGCCGGCAACAATGGCCAGTACGAAGCAATAAGCACAAAGGAAAGGACTTTTGTCCATTTGAACAGTGTCAGTGCCAATAAGGAGACAAAAATATTGTGCTAGTGTTTAATGCACATTAAAACAAACAAAAAAAAAAATACTAATAATAAATCGTGTGTTATCAAATTTAATGCGTAAATCGCAAAAAAGAATAAAACAAAATTAAAATAAACCAAAACGCGCAGAATCCAAATCATACGATACTTTATAATATTCACTACGTTGTCTCGCGAATTACGGGTCGCGACATCGACGATGTCTGGTTATATAGAGTAGAACGCAATATAGGGAGAGGCGAGGCGAGACGAGCGCATCTGTACATACACATACATAGCAGCAGCAGCAATCAGACGTAAACAGTCATAGCCAGAGCGAGAGCAGGAGACGCTCTCTCCATGCGCGTCGTATTTTTCCGCAAAGATTGCGGCCACGAGAGGCAAAGTACATACATATCTGCCAGCAGCATCAACATTATACTAGAGCCGCATTATTGGGTGCCATCTGATTAGCGGGCCACCATTGCAAAGACCCCGCACTTTGGAAGCCAGAGTTCGAGATTTTTTTTTTTTTTTTTTTGTTTGGATACACACGCCAGTCCAGCCATGTTGACGAGCGTTTTGAACTTTGCCCAATGCGTGGCGGAAATTTCCTTGCTTGGCGGCATCGAAATCGCATCGGTTGCACTAATTGTCTACTACGTTTTTGCTAAAACTAGGTAAGTACATATCGATGGGCATGGGAAGCCAGAGAAATCATGCGGCGACGACAGTGGTTCTGCCGGCAACAGCAGCATCTGTCAGGTTCAATTTATGACGCCGACAAGCAGCTGTACATACTGCACACAAGCATATGCAGACTCACACAAATACATGCATGCGCATGCATACATGCACATACATACAGTGGTGGCTTCCAAATTAGTATGGTTCTATTCAAGCCATGATTTCAATTTACTGGGTTTTGTGCTTAAAAACAGTTAACATTATATAAAAGAGTTGTCACAAAATTCATTTTAGCTTCAACTAAAATCGTGCTGATAAAAAGTTTAATTTTCTAACAATTCCTATCTGTCGAAAATCTACTTTCTCTGTTCTCAGTGTGAAAATGACTTCAATGGATTTCTGCAACGGTCTAAATAAAGTATGTTTAAACGCGATCTAATGGCCTTTAGATAAGGAATATGTCCGCCTTAAAAATATGTATATCGATAAAAAGAAAAAGAAAACATGGGAAAACCTATTAATGAGACCTTTTCAAATGATAACAAACTGATACGGATCTTAAGTTACCACAACGTATTTAAAACTTTAAATATAAAATTGGCCATAGACATTTCTGAAATATTTTTGATTAGCTATTCGATCGTCCCGATTCCTCAACAAAACACAATTTTATCGATAAACTTATCAATTTGTAGTTTCTACAATTTCTACAGTTTTAGGGTCAATACAAAAATCTGACTTCTAACAGCGTGTAGTTCAAGTTCGTTATAGTAATACCAACTGCAATAAGTTTACTTATTTATATGCATGTATGTGTTGCACTTATGTAAATTGGTGGCCAAAAGCGCCGTTATTTTTAGACACACAAACAACCAAACAGAGCGAAGTAATGAACATATGTATGTATGCAGTTGTTGCTGCATCGCTTGAGTTATGCAGCGCATGCGAAATCAGCTTTCGATTTTTCGATGTTCTACGGCTAGTTGATGAGCTTCGAATAACGCCCGTTGGCAGCGTGCACTCTGCGCTTTTGAGCTGCTTCTTTGTTTTTACAAATTCTGCGTGGCCGAACGTGCCGTTTTGCATTGCGCTTATCATCAAGCACGTGTCGTCGTGCGCACAGGAAGAGCATCAGTTTGTCGGTATGCTAGTTCTAAGGATGCGCAAAGGTCATTTGCATTCTCGCTTTCTCAACGCTGACGCAAGCTCAAGTTTTTCTATTATTTTTTTGCATGCACTCGCGCCTGCCTCCCACAATGCCTCTATGACGCTTTCTGCCCTCTCTGTCTGATAAGCAGAGCAACTCGTTCGATCGTTTGGCAACAATTATCGTAATTGAAAATCGCACATACAAATGGACGCACACAAATATACATGCATATGTATGTATATTAAATGAGTAGCTAATTAACTGATTAGCGTTTTGCTATTGTTATTTTAAGTGCACACCTTTTAATCGGGCGATAAACTTAATCTGCATTAAATGCGCCCAAACAGTACAAAGCTCATTTCATAATTTGAGCCGATTGATGTTTTGCTACATTCGAGTCAAGCAGAAATTGTTAAATGCTATTCCATCCGATTACTGTTTCAAAATATCAGGCAATAAGCGATTAAACAATAAACAAAGTGACAATGCATTTGTCAACCAAGTACAGTAATCTCTCGCAAAGAGAGAACGCTAGAAGCTCTTCCAGAAGCTCTTTCTGTGATAACAATTATGAAAAATGTATGACTATAAATAGTTCTAACAATATGTGTGCCATAAAAGCTCTCGTCCGCCATAAAATATGTTGAAAAAGTGGCAAAAGCTCTGGAAACGATGTATTTACATTATATTTATTTGGCAAAGGCAAATCTATCTATTTTTCGTAAACAAAAAAAAACAATTAAATTTTCTTTTCGATTTAGGGACAGCTTTAATTGATTCAAAAGATTTGGTGCAAAAAAGGATTGCGTAGGGTTTTTAAAACAATTGAAAAAATAAGAGCTCTAAATTCACAGCATATAATCCATTGAAAATGTCAATTGCCACACTCTGAACAATTCTAATCTCTTCCAGCTTTTATTTCGTTCCGATCATTGTATTCGTGCATGCTCATACAAATATTTACGTATATATGTAGAAATCTACGTAGTTTTCAGCACTTGAGCCTCTTATACTAGAAATTTTCCATAACATGAGTAGCGGAAATTACGAGTTTATTATTCATATATTCATAAAACATCTGACTTTACACGTTCCTTAATTAAAAGTGAGTCGTTCATCAATTGTATATAAAAATAAACAGTTTTATTTCTTCTTAAATTTCAATAGTTTTGGTTTCCTACCCTTTCGCCCCTTTTTTACAGACTTCCCAGCTGATGTTGTTGAGGTCGCCTGTGAGAGTAACTTATTAAATTCCTCCAGGAGATAGCTGTCGCTCATATCAATTTCCGAATCAGTAGGCGTCGTGTCTGTGGTGCTAAATGAGGGTGTGCGGGGGCGGCACATCATGCGTGCCGTGCTCGTGATATCAGTGGAACTTAAGCTAGTATCGGGCAGCAATGCCTCTTCGCGACGTTCATGGTAGTCAATATAGTCGCGCAACTCGACGATGCGCTTCGTTTCCGTTTCATTTTGCTCCAGCAATTGTGCCTGCAGCTTTCTGTAGCCCTGCAGCTTGCGTTTCTTTTTGGCCATGCGCGCCTTCTGCTTGTAGAAGTTCGTGTAGTGAATGATACGCTGTTTACTTTGAAACTTGCTTATGGTCCGATACATTCTCAAAAAGATGATGGGATCCAAAAAATAGTTGGCAACATTGCTGGGCATATCGTGTGTTATTGTGACGGCACTTAAGCTGCGATTGCAGACGGGACACTTTTGGTCGCCATTAGCTGATTTGGGCATGCATCTAGCGCAGATTATGTGATGGCAGCGAGTAAGTTTAAATTTTATATCGGGCTTAGAATCCCGCTTGCTAAAGCAATTATTACAGTATATGGGAAGCATAATCTAACTTACTTTAAATACACAACTCACGGATTTCATGCAACTATCTGGCAACACGGATAGGCTCGAGATGAAGGACGTCCTTGCCACTCTGTTGTGTTATATCAATACAATTTGCTTGGTACAAAGTTTAAACGGCTTTGTTTTTGTGAACAACTAATAACTTATCAGGCAAGCGTATATACAATTATATATATATATATATGCTGGGTTAGTGAACTTTATAAAATACATACATACTTAAAAATTGGACTACAGACTGTATGAGGTGCTTTCAGTGGGGCAGCCTGGAATTTTATTGCTTTATTGCGTGCTACTGATTCGATAGCAGTTACCAGCTATTTATTTAATTGAATGCAAGAGGCCTGCCAATTCATAATGCAAAGATGGTTGGTGTTTTATTGTTAATTTACACACATACATTTCTTTGTTTACAGAGCACCCGCTATTATCGCCCGTTTATTTCCCAATCTAAATCTAAGCTATCGTTCATCGTTGGGAAAGTTCAACACCATTGGCAACGACATACTGTTCACGCTTCGTGCATCAAATGTAAGTTTACACCGCTTATCAAATCGCATGCACATTCAATAACCTTAGAATACGTAACGCTATTTTGATGCACAATACAAACATACACATGTACGCAGCGCAAAGCTGATAAGCTATTCATTCAGTAAAGCACAGAGTACACATGCATACATAACATGTAGCGCCAGCGATGCCATTTGATATTTGCGCGAAGTTGCCATCTTTGCTGTTTCCTTGTTGTTATTCGACTCGATAGTCTTGCCGGCCAATCGATAAACTTCAGAAAAGCTAGACGAAAGTTGGCCCTCACCGTATTTGGTTGCCGGCACTTTGCTCAATTAAATGTGATTTTTATACAAAACAAAAAAATTAATTTCAGCGAATCTCTTAATTTTAATTACAATGAACGAGTTTCAGGCGCGAGGCTGGTTTGAGGTAAGCTTTTTTCTAGTTAGACATGCGATCAATTGTGTGTATTACGTATTTACGCATTTGCGCGGGCGAATTGCATCACTTATGTACAGATGTGTGCATACATACATTAGTGTATGGATATGGATATAAATATATAGATTTAATTTTGCTGTCATTTGTACAGGAGCCGAAAGCCAAACACTTTTTGGACCATGGCATTGGCACCCAGAATATGTTACAGCTAACGCCACATGCGGGCTTAAAGCCATTCAAAAGCATTTTTGACTGGGGTAGTATATTCCCCTATGTGGCTCAGGTTGTGCGCAGCGAGAAGTTTGATTACCGCCAGGTGAGTACACGTCTTTGGTACACATTTATAAACACAGTTAACGTTGCATTATCTTAACACTATCAGGTCACTGAAATTGTGCAAAAAGATGTCGTTTTAAAACATGCCATTAAACAGGCCGCCGAGCAAACTTTACGTGAACAACGCTATGCCAAAAATGGACATCGACTGCTCGCGCGTAGCATTAGCGGCGATCAAGATGAGGAAGAGGACGCCAAGGTGGGCATATCATATCAAAAGATACTGTCTAAGCAAGAGCAACGCGCCCTCACAATACTCAAGGAAATGGGATCCACTTTAAACAATACGTTGCTAGCGATTACCTCCTGGCTGCTCTATAAACTCTTGCCATGCTTTCTGACCGGCGTTGTGACAAATACGAAACAAATTGAAATGCTGCAGAATGCTTCAAAGCGCTCACCGGACACACCGTTGATATTCGTGCCGCTGCATCGCAGTCATTTGGACTACATTATGGTCACTTTCATTCTGACCAACAATGATATACGCAGTCCACTTGTGGCTGCTGGCAATAATCTGCAGATACCAGTGTTTGGCTCACTGCTTCGCGGCCTGGGCGCCTTCTTCATCAAGCGGAAAATTGATCCCGTAGAGGGAAAGAAGGATGTGCTGTATCGCGCAGCGCTTCATTTGTATTTAACGCACGCTCTCAAACAGGGTCACAATGTTGAATTTTTCATCGAGGGCGGACGTACACGCACGGGAAAGCCTTGCATGCCCAAGGGCGGCATACTATCTGTGATTGTGAATGCCTTCATGGATGGGAGCATACCGGACGCCCTGCTGGTGCCCGTCTCTGTAAACTATGAGCGGCTGGTCGATGGTAATTTCGTATGTGAACAAAAGGGGGAAAAGAAGGTACCTGAATCGTTCAGGAAGGCCATTTCAGGCATTTGGAAAGCACTCAACTCAAACTATGGACTGATGCGCATAGATTTCAATGAACCCTATTCAATACGCGAGCTTGTCAACTCGTACAATAAAATTGCACGCGAAGATGGCAGCTCAAAGGTGTACAAGCCAGCAGCCAGGTATGGTATGATCACGATTCGTATGCAAATTTGTAAATTTTATATACTTCATTTTGAGAAAACAGGACGCTGCAGCACAATCAATCAACGTCATCCTTATACGGAACTGATGTGGTCTGCGAGGAGCAGCGCAATCTTATAGAGAGCATCTCGCGACAGGTAGTGTTTGACTGTGCGGCAGCCACGTCGGTTATGTCGACCAATGCTTTGGCCTTTTTGCTGCTTACACGCTATCGCAATGGCGCCGAAGAGCAACTCATTGCCGCTGCGCTGGATGATCTGCGGAATTCGCTGTCTGGTTGTAAAGATTTGGGTTTTTCGGGCGAATCGGCGCACATTGTGGCCTATGCTTGCGATCTGCTGGGGACAGGTAAACAAAATTAAGAGGATCTTGGTTTTATGTATAAATTCAACCATTTTACAGAGCTGGTAACACGCACACGCGACGAGAATGGCCACATGTTTATTCGCGCCGTGCCCTCGATAGAGAGCTTCATTGAGCTGGCGTACTACGCCAACATGTTAACTCCCCACTTTGCACTCAGCTCCATATTGTTGACCACTTTTCATGCGCTCCTGCCAGCACCTAACTTGTCCGACAAAGATGCTAATCCAACAGTTGGTGTTTCGCAGAAAAAACTAATTGAGACAGCGCTGGAGAACTGTCTTGTCTATCGCTACGAATTTATACTAAACAAGCCCACGCAAGTATTGGAGGCTATGCTCTATAAACAGCTGGAAGAGCTGCTTATCAATGGTTGCCTGCGCAGAAATGAGGTTATTTATATTGAAATATATTTTATATCGAAAGATGCTGACAATGTTTATGTTTATAGGTGCAAGAGACAGAACATATTGCGGAGACACATCGCTTGGCACGTAGATTGGCCTATGATTTGAATGAAAATGATGATACTGAGGACTATCTGCATGTGTCGCATGAGGATGCTGAGTTGTTGCTGCTGGCCAGAGATACACTCGAGCAGCAGCGGCACATATGCGAGGTGCTAGCACCGTTTGCATCAACATATCTGACTGTAGCCCAGTCGCTACAAATTTTACATCGGAGCGCAATGCTGGAGTCTGAGTTTATCAGTTTCGTTATCAACGATCTTACCAACAAAGTAAAGCGTGGCACCTGTGCGTACGGTAAGCGCTGATAAAGAATTTAAAAAGCGAGGTAAGCTCATTTGTATTTCCCTTCCAGCTGAAAGCATTTCGACGGACTCTGTGCGCAATTGCTTGAAATTGTTTGAGAAATGGTCTGTGATTGAGGTATGCAACCAGCGTGGCATGCGTCTGATCTCGCTTAACACACTCTACGAAATGTCATGTGAATCGCTCAACACAATTGTTAAAAAGGTTGAAGCCGTTGTGCCAAAGTTCAATGCGGGTCACTTTAGCCAAAAACAATTGAACGACCCGCCGTCTGCTTAAGCAATATGCTTTTGTTTTCACATATAATTTTTTCTTTACGTTTTGGCACTAGTTTCTCTATTTCTTTCGTTACAAAGTAGTTAAATCTACTTAAGATTAAAGTGCATACTCTTAGATCTAACAGTAAGACGTAATATATATATTTAGTTCTTTAGACGTACGAATACGAGTTATGCCAATGCCAAAGAGCTTCCTACATTTTAACTGTAGGTTAGCTAAGCGAAAACCAAAACTGGAACAAAATATATATAATTGAATGCATATATATGTTCATACAAATGTATATAATCATATTTTTTTATGGGCAGATGTTGAAGCAACTATATCTAAACTTATAAATATAATTTCAACCAAATAATGAACTGATTTGATAATGAAATAAAATTTTTGTAAAACAACGAAACTAAATTATTGTTGCAACGCCTTTTTGTTTAATTGTTTTTATTAATCAATTGATAAATTTTAAAATTAGTCCAATAAAATAAATGTTTTTACCCTTGTGAGATTATAATTTTTCATGACATCTTCGACACCACAAAGTATACCTAATCTTAGTCTGTAGTCAAAAGTCGATACAATATAGCCATGTCCGTCTATTTTTACGCAAACTCAGTTTGAAATCATAAAACTTTGCAAAGTTTAGTATTTCTTCCCTACATTATATAGCTGCCATAGGGACGATCGATCAAAAAGATGGCTTGAGCAAACCTTACATTTGTTTCACTGTGCCTATGTACAAGCCATACCTTATCAACATCGGACCACTATATCATGTGCTTTTTTTTTTGTTAGATATTTTTACCAGCAATTACGAGCTGAATAGTCTCCTCGCATAACTGTAAGGCTGAATACCATAATTATAAAAGAAGGGTATTTTTTGTTTAGCGTGCCGAAGAAAGTCTTTCATTCTTTTTGTTTTGTTTTGTTCCATTTTTCATTTTATAAAATTCATACTTAAGCATAACAAACAATAAATATATATGTAAATATAGAAGCGTCCATTATCTGGCAATATTCAGATTTTTATATAAACAAAATGATAATCAATAAGCAACAGAAATGCCACAAAAAAATACACTATATTCTTCTCAATTAAACTACGGCTCTTTGCTAGCAGGAGCAGCATCCAATGGTTGCTCCGTTGGGGGCACATTGTCTGCGCCCATGTGCTTAGATTTGGACCTTTTCGCAGCTTTCTTCTTGGGTGCGCCGACATGGATGCGAATGCCCTTGTGTCGTGGTAATTGCTTGATCTTCGTCTCCTGCAGGATGATGTTTCTGCAGTTATGGACATTTTTCTTCAAATATATGCTTACCTTGACCTCCTCATCCTTCAGCTTGCCGCCAATCTCGCCAGAACAACGCTTGGCGCCACAGAAGCA